GAGAGCTGTGATGACGAATGCGGATGCATTAGGCTGATGAGGATTACTCAGTGGAGGGGTGGGCTTATTGCTAGGGGAAGGTGGAGGTGGGGGGTGAAACGTGAGACTCTGGATCATCACGAAGCATCCAACGAAAGGAGGGGCTGTAGTCACAAAGTGCAGATGGGTGTGAAAGATCGAAGAGATTCACTCTTTGATTTAAACCCAGGATCATTATTTGTTCAATGTAAGCTTCTTCCTCTTCTCGCCATCCTGTGTAATTATTTATATGAAACATTCCCGAATTCTTGTCCTTAACTTGATTACCATCTAAAATGGTCCTAACTGGATTCAAGCCAGATATTCCTATCCCCTGCAAACAGTAAACTATGATCACATAATAGACTGTTGTGGTTATGCGGTTTGCCAGGTGCGGATTACTTTAGTTTTCTCCGCAACAATGTCTCCCTTCCACTCCCTCTGTTGCACTTTTTTAAAATCAAAAGTCCTGCTTCCCAATGGAGCAGGGGCTTGATCGGAGAAGCAGGCAGAGCAAATACTTACTATGACTCATATGAGAAGACGTGGTTCTCCTTTCTCCGGCCCTCCCTATTCCTGCCTCCTCACTTTTTCTCTCATCCAAACCCCAGCATGCAACATCATTTACAATGAAATGTGCAGCGCAGCCTCACAGGAAATATTACAAACAGCTGAAAAGGGAAAGTAGAGATCTGCTGAGATACATTCTTTAGTTCTAATTCAGTTTGGGCTCAGAAGAAGCAACTGTTATGAAGAGAGGGAGTTCATTAAGTTTTTCCTAATGAATGCTAATCATTGTAAAACTACACGAAACCTTGTGTGATAGAAAAATGCTGTTTGCATTTAATGCCTGATGTCAATCATCAAACATGCCCTTCACAACAGCAGCTCAAATTACCTGCTTTCCACCTTTTAGTTTGAAGAGGTGGCAAACAGGGAAGCTAGTGCAGAAAATCACCTTTCTAAAATGTGCGATTTATACAACTTAATTGTTTTGTTCCACTTTCATTACTCTCATAAGGTTGTTTCCCCCGCAGCAGGTAGAGAAAAAGCTCTAAAAACCAACTGTGAACTCCTTGCTCACTAGCAAACAGCTGACAGACACAGTAAGTATAGATAGTTGGTGAACACAGTGAAGCAATTAGCAGAAAAAAGTATTCTCCTGTGGAGATGGTTAAGTGCAGTATAGTTGTCTGTATATAAGAAGTGGACAACTCACAGTGACTCTAGCCATTAGTTGTGGATAGGATATCAATATGAAATCCCATGCATGCACATTTACAGATGAACTTCTTGTTAGGGTCGTTAGTCCAGGAGTTCAACACCATGGTTGCCGCCATTGTATTTGTATTGAAGACAAGTTGTATTCATGTCTTTAACAGCAAATCTCCTCACACAACCTCTTCAAACACAATCAGCCAGTTTGTTATCCTTCCCTTCTCCTTTAGGCAAACCAGCTACTGTAGAGGTGCATATGCAACCAACTGGAGTAGATTGTGGAACGAAACAGGTGAATGCTCAGTAAGCGTGACTATTCCATATCCACATAATTTGCGTCAAGGACCAAAGCGGACCCTCACCGGCATGCAAAAAGTATCAATTGGCTTTAAATAGACCATCATTTACTAAATGGACCACATGCTGTATTAAAAGAAGCTTGAAAGTAGCGATTTGTTGCTTTAACTCTACCATTTTTTAACTGAGGGACTATATCAAGCGAGAAGTAGGGTCATACAATCAGACTTCTTTTTGCATACTCTGATTTCACTTTTCCAAAGCCAAAGTTGCCCACTTGGTGAACACAACAACAATATAGTGTATCATCACCTTTGAAGTGGTTATACCCTCTCAAAGGTGATGATATGTCCATGTTGTGTTCAAAACTTGTTTTGCTGCCCCCAAGTTTCTTTAAATGTGCAATTGAAGGTTAGAAAAGTTAGAAAAGATTTTTCAGGAAGAAGGCAGAATAAGGGAAGTTGCCATTTTCCCTGGATTTTCCATTTAGCTCAACAGAAAGTTGGCCTCAGGCAGCAGCTTTAAGCCAACATCGGAGAAGAGGTCTGTGATCTGTGTGGAGCAGGAAAAAAGCTTCAGTCTGATTTTCATCGATGGAAAATAAATGATTTTTTTTCTTCTTCTTACTGTGTAAACATACAATTGAACACTTTGCTTTAGACCTCCATGTATAGCAAACTATTAAGACCTTTATTCATCTATCCAGGGCTACAACTTTACTGAAAGATAGTATTTTTAGTTTTGTAGGGGTGACTTTAATGCAAACACCTTTAAGCCCAGTCTGATCCTGGGTGCTGTCTATAGCCTGGGTCTTCCTGTTCTCTGGGTTGTCTGAAAGTTTCTTCTGAGAGTGTTCAGATTGGTAGCAGCTGTGGTTGTTGGCCGGTTCGAGCTGTGGGAGGTTGCGGCAGGCCAGCGGGGAGGAGCTCCAACATCTGGAAAAGAAGGAAAGCTGGCTGGAACACAGAGAAGAGAGCCTAGCAACACGTATACTCCCCGAACCAATCCTGTCTCTACAGTGTTTGCAAGTGAACAATTCCCTTTATCTAGATACAAGTGTTCGGGAGCCAGCAATGTTGGATAGGAACACAGCCTTTTGAAATATGAATTTTATTCAAAAGCTTGAATCTGCTGGTTAGAGAGTGTTGCCTGAGACAACGGAAAGAGTGGACTGCTGTTTTTAAGATCGGAACCCTCTGGGCCTCTCCTGATCTAAGAGCGTGTCTAAACATGTGGGAGCTGCCTGCAAGAGGAAAAGGAGGAAGGGGGTTGAGGTGGTGCTTGTGTTGGTCAAGAAAACTTAAATTCCTCCTCCCATGATCTGCCCATTCTAGTTGCTTTTCTATACAAATTAAATTAGTGAAATGATAGGTCTCATTTCCTCTGTAAGTTTTATGTAGTCACTTTCGGCACTTACCGAACATCTTTAAATCTATATTACTACTTTTATAAAAAAAAGTCTGAAAAAAAGGTCTGAAAGTACAACCTTTTGATTTGACTTTATAAAGGCTTTATAATGTCTGACGACAGTCTTCATTGATAATTTAAGTTCTGTTTATCTGACAGTACAGGTGCAAAGATTTCAAGGATAGCATTTTAATTTCCAATGTGCGTACCAAAAGTGATCCATCTAATAGTTGTTTAGGCATTTCACTAAAACCAAAATGGTGCCCTAATGGTGTTTCTAGAGGAAAAGTCAGGGGATAAACAATTCACTAAGATTCTGAGGACATTGAATATTTTAACTTTTGATGACATCCATCTGATAGTCAAGTATCAGTTAATATATATAAGGTAGGACCATGCCACCCCCTAGTATGGAGGTAAAGGGTGGGTTCCCTTTCTTCAGAGCTCAAAGGGCAGGTGGCTTTGTTTCTGAGTCAGTCAGAGCACAGCACAGGAAAGTAAGAGTTAATGTAGATGTCATGTTTATTTCTGGTGAAGAACTCCACGTTTTCATGCCACAGTAATTATATGTTATAGCCTACTGAACTTCCTAGCCAGACAAAGTCAATATAATTAACTCCTCTCCCTCCCATTTTGCTCCTCGTTTCTTCATCTTACCTTGCTTTTGGCCGTTTTTATTCACATTGAGGGTGGGTACAAGGTCTTTGAAGTTTTGAAAATGCTACATTTTAATTATGTTGAATTTTCATGAGCACTAAACTTTTCTTATGCAATAATCAGATTATTTTCTTCCATTTGGTCCTTCTCCTTTTTTCAACAGATAAAGATAGTGCTGTACCTGCTACTTTTCAAAATACGAACCACGATTTAAAGAATTGTAAGGTTCTCAATTATTATATTCAGAAAATGTAAACAGCAGCAGACAACTTTTTGCTTTGTAAAGACGTTTGTTACGTCTACCTGTGTAGAGTATGTACACTCTCCCTCTGTTTGTGTTGTATTGCGAGCTTCTCTTTGCTTTTTTAACACAATAGGGCTGGCAGCCCTTGCATAGTGTGTCACTCTCATATTGCAGTTATCAAGGATATAGAGGCATTGTCACTTATGCATAATGCTTACCCTCCAATTACCACTCAGGTAACACCTGAGCACTGTTGTCGTTGTTTGAACTGTTTTCGCTGTAAGTAGTATAGCTGCTAGCCGTGGGCTTAGCCATCAACCATGTTCAGAGCTGTGTGGAGGCAATCGTTTTAGTATGTTGAGAGGTACCAAAAACATTTTTATAAATACATCATCAAAGAAGTCATTCAAAACTAGATCCCCCACTCTGGAAATTAGCAAGTATTCAATAATAAAGGATCAAAATATACAATCAAAGTTAGTACAAACAGCTGGTTTTGGCACCTTAAAAGTTCTTGAAAAGTGCTAGAATGATTCTCTTAAAAATCTGTAAGAACCAAAGGGAAGTGTTAACAGCAGCATCTTGTACATCAGAGCTCCTGCAGCAGGGAGAGTGTTCCCTGGGTCTGTACAGCAGAGGGATGGAGTGCAGTGAGCGGCAGAGGTACTGGCATCCCACTGGCTGGCTGGACAGAAGAGGCATTCTTCTCCTCAGATCCCCCCGGTCGTCTCCTACAGACCACAGTTTGTCAGCCAATATGCCCACCGTTTACTGAGGAAATGTTCACTTAGTTCAGGAAGTCTGAGGTTTCCCCCGAATGTTTGATTTCAGAAGTTACCCAAACAACACTGGGGTTATAAGTCAGGGCAGAACAACTTAGGTGGGAACTAAGAAATCCTGAGGGGAATTGCAGTCTCAGGTCACGAAGTGATATATAAATAATTAGCCGGCCCATCATAGCTATTGTTAATGATTATTCTAGATGGGGTAATGATTTGCTGAAGGTAATATTTATTTGGTAATATGATTAAGTCCCATATTCATGCCTCCATTTGAATCTTTCATAATGATTTCCTGTGCAATTAAATTGTTTGTTGTCATATTTCTAGTGTGCATGTAGACATATCAGTTTCAGCAAAGATTTGAGCATACGTGAAGGGCAGTGTGAATGTTTTTATTTTTTATGTTATGTTATATGAACAGAAATACAAATAAGCATTTTGCGTAATGCAAAAACAAACCAAGCTGTGACAAAAATATACAAAGATATAGATACTCGGTCAACAAAATGTACAAAATCCACAAAACTCACATTAGAAAAAAGCAAAAAAAGCTGGTATCATAAATAATTCTAATAATTCCACATTTAAAGGATAAAGATGCCTAAATACAAATGTAAAGAAAAATAGGAACATTATTTGACATATATTAAATTAGACAAAATAATATATGTAAATGATAAACATACCATATCCCATAAAATGATCAAAGTTCCAGCACAGTATTACGATAATGTGCGTTCTAAACATTTCAAACACTATGTGGTTACCTTTTCCAGCAAACCTTGCAACAAAATCCTTCCCCAGCTCCTGACATATGCATTATAGTATCAGTATATACAATAGATCCCAGACTTTGTTTTGCTGTGTTCAAGCTTCTTGCAAAAATCAAGGGTCCTTTTGCACCTGGTTTGTGCAGTTTAACTAGTGTCCTGCAGGGGAAGTAGAGAGCGCTCTCACTGCAGTTTCTTCTTAGACAGCTCGGCCAACTCCCTGGCTTTCCTCCTCTTCAGCTTCTTCTTGAGGAAGAGCAAGTCAATGTAGACGATGTGGTCCAACACCGCAGAGGCGCAGAGGAGTCCACCATGCAGAGCGCCTGCTATCCCACAGCTGAACACGTCTTGGCCTGGAACAAACACACAAAATACATCCTGCTGCATGAGACAAGACAACTGGAGTCTGGGTTCAAAATGTTGTCTGAGTTACTCCTGCTTTTTGACCTTATCGTAAATTGATAATTTGGTAAACCAATCCAGCAAGAAAATTGCTATTACACTGCAAAGAAACCAACATTTCAGCGCATTATCCTTCTTTAAGTTAATCAATTGTTCTTGAGACTTTTCTACGCCTGTTTAAACTTCACTTACTGAAAAACCCAAGGACTTGACTGTACTTGCAGAGCTTTTTTTAACCTAAAGTCCTCAGCCAAGTTTGCACTTTTCATACCTGAGATGTAGAGGTTTTTGACGGGGGTGTTGCACCTGTTCCTCGCCACAGTCTCTGCTTGGAAACGATCGAGGTTGTGCTCAGCAGAGTACATGGCTCCACGCTGGGCACCCAGATAGTGGTTGTTTGACAGTGGGGTCGCCACGTCCTGGAAAACCAACTGAAAAACAAGTCATACACAAATTCCAAGTTAGTCAACACATGAAATAAAAGCATGGACACTTTACAGTTAACCCTTTGACAGAAAAAGACCAATCCTACCTTGTCTCTGATTTTAGGGAACAAAGTACAGGCCCGGTCAAAGAGGTTTTTAGCAAATCTCATTTTGTAGTTGTAGTATTCGTCGCCCCTTTTGCGTACAGAAGTGTCCTTCCATTCCTCAAACCATTCGTACTTGACCATTGTCAGTATTGTCATGCAAGATTTTCCTGTAAACATGAAACAGATGTATGAACTTCTTGTAGGAGTACATCTTTAAAACAACATTTATTGTTAATATTTGCACATTCTTTCTTTTCATCGCTTGATTTTGATTGGACTTTAACTATTATATATATTTTATCTTTTTTTTCTTTTCACTATCTATGTAAAGCGACTTTAAGCACCTGGAAAAGCACTAACAAAATAAATCTATTATTATTATTATTACTACTTCTATTTGCAACCATAGAAAAAGCCTTAAGCGTATGTACCTGGGTGTCTTATTTTGGATTCGGGGTCTTTGGCAGATGGCATTGTGATGAACATCATGGGGATATTATCTGGTGCTTCCTCTTTGTTTAATGCAAAGAAGGCATCCATCCTAAAACACACAAAAACATGAACATTTCAAATTCAGATCGTCATCCCTCAGTCAAATCAGTCTGGGCTTAACATCAGTGTGGCCACACATGAAAAATAAATCATGGGTGGTATTTAAATCAGTTGTACTGATCATGTACTCCACCTAGAGGACAAAAAGGATCTCTGTCTTGGAAGTTTAATAAGCCACATACAGAACTGTACAATACACTACACTTTCTAATGGAATACATAAAGCTGAGACAAAAAAATAAATAAAATCTGATGTATCTGGAAGCAGAGTTCCACAGAGTTTTTTTGTCTCATTGCATCCCTACTTCTTATACAACAATGCCCCCTTGTGGTAATAAAATGTTAGGGTTCAAACTCACGATGTGTCCATGTCATTGTTTTTAAACAGCCAGAAGTTGGTGGACTCGAGGCCCAACTCCTCTTGAGTCCCATCAAACCCGGAGAAAACCAGGAACGATCCTCTGCCATGTTTCATCATGTTCAGCCTTTCCTGAATACCTACAATAAAGGTATGGTTTAACATCACTTTCAGAATAGAAATGCATATATTTAGGCGATAGGGATCTCTTGCTCACCTTTCTTTTCTTGAATCGCAGGGGGAAGAAGTCTCTGGAAGGTGTTGAAGACGCCACAATTTGAAACAACCACAGGTGCGTGAATCTCCACTTCCGCCTGACCTTTCCTCACTTTCACACCTGTCACGTAACACAAAAAGGAAGCCATGTACTTGTGTGTGTCGTAAAAAGGTAAAGAAAACAGAGCTTACATTCCCATGGTCTCACCATAAGCTGCTCCCTTGTCATTAACCAGGATCCCAGTGACAGGAGCTCTGACCAGGCAGTTTCCTCCATATTTCTGGATGGTGCGGATGATGTGGAAGGCGATCTCACTGGCACCACCTTTAGGGTAGTAGGCACCTCTTTTGTAGTGATGAATCAGGAGGGCATTGATGAGAATACTGGAGTCCTTTGGAGGCACGCCTAAATATACAGAGTGAAGGATTAAATATGACTTTGCTGACTTTGTTATCTTGGCTTCAGCTGAAACCACCAGACCAGACTCGTACATTTGTTTTTGAGACTCATTTTGCGTTGGATTTGGACTGAAACTGTTTCATTAGGAATAACTCCTACAGATGTTTTAAAGAAACACCATATAAGGCCGACTACAATCATATTTTACAAGTATTTAGGTCATAAGAGACAGGGCAAATTTGATCTAGAACAATTATATGGATCAAATATTTACGGGTAGATTATTCTGATCAAAGAAAGTGTTACAGTTATAAAAAGTTATAAAAAGTGTCCCAATTGTTAATTAGAGGAGAAGTGTACTAAAAAGATTAAAGGTAGGGTAAGAATGGAGAAACCAGCTCGAGTGTGCTAGAATTTGAAAGTACGCAGCCGAAAAATATCTTCCTTACAGAGCCCCTCCTCCGACACACACGAACGTGCACATGACCAATGAGGGCACGAGATAAGTTTGTGCACAAGATGGAAGGCTGACAGGCAGGTAGGCCATCCAGTTATTTTAGCCGGGCCGGGGCAGATAATTGGTCTAGCTTTTTACAGCGCTACGGCTTCCACAGATGAAATATTTGTGTATATTTATTTTCAAAGCATTTAATGTATTCATTGCTATCGGGATGTTAAGACTATTCCATGTAATCTAACAAAAAGTGTTTCTGAAGTGAATTACCTACCCTACCTTTAAGTGATGAGTAAGGGTAATCGAAATTTGCAGCTTTTTTCTGTTTCTGTCTTATGGATAAATTACAGTGAAAGTTTCAAACACTGTACTTACAATCGTAAGTTTTTGAAGGACACATTTGCATAGTGTATTATAAACTTTATCGTTGATATCATACTATTACAATATATTGATGCCTATATGTCTTAGACATCTGCTACTGAAGTATTTGCTACAAATTACTTCCAATACAATGTATTTTATTTACTTGACAATATCTTTTAGTTGGTGGACTTGAGAAAAGATGGCTGCCATTTCTACACTGTTCATCTAATGTGGACGTTAATACCGTAAGAGCGAGTTTCTGTCTTTACTGGCTTGAATTGAGTTTTCTACTCTAGTACCCACCATAGAAAAGATAAGAAAAGATGACGTGCAGATCCTTGTTGCTGGTCAGGGTGTTCACCAGGTCTGTTGCACATGTCCCAGAGAGGCGGAAGACCTCGGTGAGGAGGTTTCCAATGCCTGACTTCAGTATGAATAAAGACACCCACTGCGGGATCAGCTTTAGAGTTGCCAGGTAGTGAGTCTTCTTAGCAGAGACCTTTTGGAGAACAGTTTGCCAGTTATAGGTGTGTTGTCATTTTATGGAGGGATGTCACGCTGAGATATGTGTCCACTAGCTTACAGTACCTTCATGATATTGAAGAATGTTTCGATGGCCTCTGTGTCATCGGGGAATTGCTTCATTAGATGGGCTTTCATCTCCGTTTTACCCGAGAAGATAGTGTACTCCCGTTTTTCCTGTCCTTGGCCTATCATGATCGTGTCAAAGTGTTGATTTAGCTTTTGGAACTCCAACTGTCCCTCAGAGATTTGATCGAAGGCGATGCGCAACAGGCTGTTCTCGTGGACCTGACCAATGTAGTGAAGCCCTGAAGAAGGAAAGAGCGGGAAGCAGGAACACAGTGTATAGTTATTTAAGTTACACCAGGGAGATAATCAACATCCATTCTTGTTGTTGCCTTCAAAGTGGTTTAGAGGATTTAATGGAACAATCATAAAAATTGTACCTACTGTAGCTCAACAAATGACACCTTAAAAAACCCACTTAGCTGCTGCAAGGTGCTGCTAGATATTCCAGGCCTCTTAAAAAAATCCAATGCAGTGCTCTGAAACAGTGAATATATATTATCCCTGGCATGTCCTCTTACCAACATCAAACTCGAAGCCTTTCTCTACGTAGGTGTGGCAGCAGCCTCCAGCCTGGTCGTGTTGTTCCAGCAGCAGGACTCTCCTCCCTGCTTTGGCCAGTGTCGCTGCAGCTGTCAGACCACCGATACCGCTTCCAATGACAATCACATCCAGGTTCTGGGGCACTTTGTCAAGGCTGAAACCTGGACAGAAACAGACGGAGATGATGTAATCATGGTAACATTTACATGTCTAAAAAAAAAAAAGATTCATTGAAAATGTAATATAACCTGCTAAAATGTGTTGCATAATAGTCTGAAGGTTGCTATGCACAGCTTTCATCTCATAAAGACTTGGCTGTTGATCTAGTTCCTGTATATGTGTTATCCTCTTGGCAACTACACATTAGATAAGACTGCAAATACAATCTCTTTGTGCATTATCTAACTAAGATAAAGCCAACAGATGAAAAACAATAAGTGTACTTTTGTACTAATTTAGGTCTAATCTTAACTCTGAGTTATGACCAGGAAAACAGGCCATTTAGATGATATGTATCAGCAAACCTCAGCAGTTCTACGAACTTTAGTAAACTGATACAGTGTCAAATATTTGTTCTACTTACTTTTTACTATTTCTAGTTGCAGACCTTTTAATGCTTAATCGAACCCAATTTTATAACTTAACTTAATACAATTATTTAGAATTTTCCTTGGAATATTACCTCCCTCGTCACACCATTTATTTTACTTACAATGTCTCTTATACCCGTTGTAAATATTAAAGATGAATGAAAAATAAAATCACACCCTAGTTTAAGTTAAAGAAGTAAACCAGATTCATTTGAGAATGCACCTTTTTTTTCCTGCATAATGCCATCTGTTGACATTAAGAGTTTTGCCCAGGAACATGTAAGCAATTATTATGAAAGGGCTTTACAACAGCAACAATAAAACAATTGTTCTTCCTCCAAAAGCACAGCACAGCTGCAAAGGACAAATGGGCATCTGCTTGGGCAACTTCTGCCCGACCTTGTGCATGTCCCTTGTTTTGAACAATTCCATCTGTCATTTTCTTTTTGTTGTTGTTAACATTGCAAAGTGGGATACCTTTTATTACACATGTTCGCTGATTGAAATGTGTGCAGTGAATAAAGGTCTATTATTTGATGATCCCTGTCACAGCAGAGGTTGATAACAAAGAAAATCCATGACAAATTAATTGGATTTTAGTTTCATACATTTCTTAAATCTCACTAAAGCAATCTAAATAAACATATTGCATATTCATTATTGAATGATGAAAGTGAAGGTTAATAATTGATTCTCTTTTTTCCTTTTTTTGCAGATGCTGGCCAGGGAGGTCCATTTTCTGCTGTAAGAATATATATTCTAAGTGGATCATATTGTGTTGTACCCAATGGAATAAATTGAAATATTATTTTACAAATGGTCATTTTCATTCTTAGTCTGCATTCTTTTTCGTAGTTTTTTGTCAAGTCATTTTACATGTTGACTGTTTTGTATCTTGTTTAAGTGTGTGCCTACAGATCTAAATCAGACTTAACGGTTAGAAGATACACTTCTTCATGAAAGCATGCCCTCACATTTCTAATGAGCATTTTCAACTGCAATCATTTTACCTTGCTTGATGACTTTGTCCCGCTTCTTCTGATCAAACTCTCGAGGTCCAGGGGGTCTCACTGACTCCAGGGAGAAAGGGCTCTTTTTCCCAAACAGGTACCAGTACGTGCCACCGGCCCATATAACCAACCACGCTAAGAAGATCAAGAGCCACATCATGGAGACAATCGGATCGCAGTGTCTGGTAAGAGTGTCCACAGCAGCAGTGACAGGTGTTTTCTGAGCACTGCACTCCTCATCAGGCTGTTTTTATAACGCTGACTGCCAAAGGTCTGGACTAGACAAGTGGGACATTTAGATGATTATCAGAGGTGTTATGACAACCACTAAAGATAAGGCTAAGTGACCCATTTTTGTCATGACTGTGCACAAATAAAAAATAATGGTGTGCCAGAAAAGTGCTTCTTTGGAGACCAAAACAAAAGAGGCAAACTATGATGTGATGGCCACAGCCACACATGGTCACACCTGCATTTCAGGTGCAGTCAATTACCCAAACAATTAACAACAGACAGTTGGCTTCAATGGTGAACTGGTTATTTGCTTTCACTGTGGCCTGACAGTGTTTAGTTCAGGTGAACACATTTTGGATCGGTTAACAGAGGTATTTGTTTGTATTATACATTTTCTTTGTCTTTGAGTTACTGTGGTTGTTGGGGGGGGTTTCTTCCTGGTGGCCCAAAGAGCATGGCCGAGGGCTGAGGACTTCTAAATCCTGGAAATAGTTAATTGGGCCAAACCATGTGCTTCCATGTCAACAGTGGGATTTGGGCTTTGTCAGTTTTCTTTTCATGGCCTATTCATCGTAGTTACCCCTTGTTTGCTATTCGGTTTGGACAAGCCACTATATATGTTCCCACTTGTTGGATTGCGACAGGTCGGTGTGTTTAGTTTAGTTAACATCAATTTGACTTCTGGTATATTGATAGAATTATATTCAAATGACCTGTTTATAGGCCTAGTTATTTCGATTTGAAACACTTTTTCCACTCACTGCTTGGTCCCTGACAAAAGGACACTACCAAAAGAACTTTGAGTTTTTCGTTCCTCCATTAATTATTTTTCTTGGAATCGATTCAGACATTGTTCTTCTCCATGGTAGGTCACTCTCAACAAAAAATGAATAGATGCATTGTTCTTGTCAGTGTCACACGAGGTCAATTGTGTTCAAGTAAACAAATAGTCCGTTCAGATGTCTTGAATTCACAAAGTTATGACACTTCTGATCTGAAGGTTACAACATGTTTTTCTTTCACCCAGTATGGTTATTCCACAGAGATTATAGGACATTTGCGAAGATTAAATATGTCCATAATTGCTCTTATCTGATAAGACAATTAAGATAAAAACCACTCCATGGACAAGTCATCCTAGACTTTACACATGCGGTGTCGAAATGTATGTATTTACAACAGTGCAGATTAAAATCACTGAGTTGTATCATTTGGTGTCCCATAATTACAGTGCTCGTGTCCTTGAGCAGACCATTGAGAAATTGCAATGTGAAAATCAACAGAATAACACTTGATTATCATTTTTTTTACAAAAAGTATATATTACTTAATGATAAAATGGGTAACCTTTTAAAACAGCTTTCCTTTTGAAAATATGTTTACAAATGAACCATGTTACCGCTCTTTAGCTCAAATGTCTTTCTCTAGTATCTAAAATACATGAAAAGGGATTCAAATATATTTTAATAATTAATTGTATTTGTATTCATATTTAAAATGTGATTACATATTTGAAATGAGATAACCTACACAGATGACAACATACTGATATCTCACAGACACGCACCCCTAAGGGTTTTTGATTACGGTAATACTTGGATACTCACTATCTATACTTATAGATACTCAACAATTTTGCTTAATATTTCTGTTTAACATTAAAGTAAACCAAATACATAAAACATATATATCCTCCTGGGACCCAGCCCATTGAAAATTTAACATGCATCTCCTTTGACTCTTTTGTGCTACTCTATCAATCCCTGATGTACTGTACAGAGGACATCCTGGTCTTTCCAGTGATATGTCATTGGTTAAATTGCATGCTGGGAAGTTCCTCTTTCTTTTCATCCAAAATGGCTGGCATACCAAAAACAAAATGTTATAGAAGCAGGAGGAAAAGTCAAATATTGTTGAATAATCGTAATTTTTACCATGAAAATCCTATATGTTCTTGTCTATCAACATGTGAGGAACTATATAATTTGTTCTGAAAGCAATTAAATAATTCAAGTTTTCAAATAACAGCCCTTTTATAAATGTCCATTCTAGTGGACGTCAGGACCATCTTCATGGACTTTATGACTCAATATTGTTGCAAGAGACGGAACTGAAGCAGAGATTTTCTGTACGAGATAGTTCAGGGAGATTAAGATTTTGAGCTCTCAGATGATGATAGAGATGATGATTTCACACCTGGGATAGAAGAGGGTCAAGAAGAAGGGGTGAAAGATGCAGGAGGCTCCATGAGCGCACAGATACAGACAGAGAGACAGATAGGGACGAGCTGGAAAGACATGGCCCCCTGTGGGCCAAGAGTAGCACGTATGTCTCATTGTTGTTTTTATTTTAAGTGGAGCCTTGAAAAATGAGAATTGCCTCAGGAATGCCAGCTTTGTTTCTATGAGCTTGGTCAAATGGAGACCACATCCATAAAACTAGTTTTTTAGTGACCAAATAAACAGCAATGTTCAGATCAATTACTTATTCATGTTTTAAATAAAGGTGAATGTATTATTGTATTAATATCACTCTATAACCATAATACGTTACATAGTCTATCTGTTAATTTTGGCTGTCTTTTCAAACTAATATGGTCCCGACGTCCTCTACAGTGGACATACTGTAACATATTTAAATAAAATAAAATAAAAAAAGTCTAAATTGCAAGATGTTTTTTTTAACCTTAAATAGGTAGGAAATCACAAAAAAAAGGAAATTGGAAGACACTATTTCCCTCGGGTCCCAGGAGGATATGTTGGTTTCTGAAAATGGAACGGCAATAAACTTATCTTAAAATACTTTTTTGATACCTAATAACCATATTTCCTTAACTGTGCTAGGTGCTCTGCATGTGTGACCGTTAAAGAGGGTTTCATCCCTCCGATTCTATCTATCATTTGATTTAAAAAAAAGTGTTAATGCAGCAGTGTGAATTGTGTTTTTAAATGTATTATAGTGTTAGGAATAAAGCCTGCACCTACAAATGAAATCATACCCAAGACGTTATGTGTATTTGTTGGTGAGCAGATTGAACATGACACTAATTGGATGCAGGGCTCCAAATGGGAGCAGGGATGAAGCCGCTGGAACAAGCTTAAAGACTTTGATACCGGAAGCAGCTCTTTGTCAGTGTGAACGAGAAATCGTATTAAGAATTACTAAGCAGTAAGTGCGCAGCTCCTGTGACTTTGCCCTGCTTTTCACGGTTACACAGCTGAGTGTCATGTTGACTTCTGCACATTCACACACCAACCAATATACAGTAACAATATAATCCAGTGTAAAAAAGTAGATGAAAGTGCAGTTGTAGTATAATAAAAGTGAGCTTTGCTTATATTCAACGATAATAAGAGCAGTCAAGTCAGGTCAAAGCTTTGCACAGCTATTTGCATTTAATTACAAATTGACAAAGAAATATTTTCCTATCAACAGTACATTCAGTAATCCGGTGATGGAAAAGGGTCTCTCTCCTGGTAGCAATACCATTACAGATCTTAGTTTTCTTTTACATTTCTACAGGGATATTACAGCAATGTAACCGGTTCTCATAAAAAAACTGTTTGACGTTTCCTTGCATGTCCATGTGCTATGTTATTATACAGCCTCCCTTGTCTCCCTTGTAGGGGTTCTTGTCATCTGGAACGCCCTTTATCAGCGGATCATTAGGCAGGAGTTCCTCAACGAATGTAACAGTCTCTGCACAGTTTGCAAGCAACTGTTGTTGGGAGGAAAGATGGTAAACACATTTAAGGTTGACAAAGCAAATATCACCTTTTCAGACGTAAAGATGGAACATTAAACTTGCATGCTACAAATCATTGAAACTGTTTTCACCCCTTGCACAATGCTTCAATTCAAAGAGGCTTAAAATTGAAATAATACTGAAAAGATTGCTCACAATTGATGGCAAGACATTATTTTTAAAGAGGTCGTTTACTTACTGGTGTCCTAGTTGTGCTAACTTCCTTCTTCAACTGCTCCAGCTCCATTTTTAAGATTTCCTTATCCGACATATCCCGAGCCATCCTGACTGTAAGAGGAAATCAAGACAAAACCTTTAAAAGTGTCAGAAAAAATACCTACAAATCTGCTTTCATGATGGAAAACCAACAACATTACAATCAGCAATCTTTACCTGTTGAATGGTGGGATCCCCAAAGTAACGAGAAATGTGTTTGGCTCCTAAGAGCTCATTGACTGTTTGCCTTGCTGTAGTCCGGTTGCTTCTTCACACTGAATGGTCTGTGCTGTCCCACTGCTCTTCATCCCAGCTGATCCCTGCTGCTGGCTTTGGGTTGAGGTCGGCAGCGGATTGGACCTGATGGCACCAATCCCCCGTGATGAGATTAAACAATCAGGAGCCGTAACCTCTGAACAGGAAGGAGGAAGGTAAGAGATTCTTCTAGATCTGCAGATGAGGTGGAGAAAGTGAACAGTAAACATCACATCATATTTGTCTGTAGCTGTTGAAAACATACCAAAGTCTGTACACTTTAAGCCTATAAGACACTGGCTTCACATTACTTTTCATATCTCTTTTCATTTTCATGTCAATACCTCACCTATACATTAAACCAGTGGTGGAGGAAGTATTCAGATCCTTTCCTTATGTCAAATTGCTAAAACATTGTGAAAAGGACCCTACAATTATAAGTCCTGCATTCAACACTTACTTTAGCAAAACTTTGTAGAACAGTATTTACAGCAAATTATACTACTTTTGGATATGACTGCTGCATTCATGTGAATGAATATTGTACTGATGTGCACAACTCATTTCAACTCTTATACTGTTTTGGGTATAGCAATGCATCCTTTTCTATAAGATCATTGTACGTTTGTTTCGTAGCTGTCCTGTGAGAAGCATTTATCTCTTTAAAGTAAACTTTTCATAAACTGCCTTTTTTATCTTGAACATTGCGTTCCCAGCTCATTCAAGCTGGTTTTTAAATAGTTATTACCTTAAGAAGTAGGAACAAAATACAAATCAAAAATTGGATGAAGTTGGTTTTCTTTGGACAGGGAGGGGATGTTAAACTCTAATCTGAAAGTTTCCCTTTTAGTAGTAGTGAAGTTAGAGCATGAAGTTTAGCATGTAAATATTAAACAATACATAGGAATTACCTCCGACATGAAATGAAGTTATTTATTAGAGTTGATGTATTTAGTACCATTCCATACCTTCATTTAACATAGCCATAACAGAGGTTAGTGTTTGCATCATCGTGTGTTCATACATCATTAGCATAGTGCTGTGTGCCAAGTGGAAGGAGGCCAAGTCCTCACCACTTATTTAATTATAATCTGGCAGTCTATCCAATCAGCTCCTCTTAGACTTGCCACGTCATTCTACTTCAGCAACTTCCAGTGCAAAACTGACAAAGATGTTATTCAAGGTTCATGGTTCTTTATTTAGTCATAAGAACATAGCTGCAGCGTAGTTATGCCGATGAAAATCTTAGGTCACAGGCTTCTCCAACAGTGCAACACAAAACACAGATAAACAGAAAAAATATGGTGCAAGTAAATAGTAAATACAAAAATAAAAATAGTGTAAAAAAGTGAAATAGTGCAATAAGAGTCTATAAGCAAGTTATTGGAATATGATATATTAGGTAAATAGATAAATAATTTCTAAGTAGCAGCCAGATGAGTATTATGGATGTTGTTTCAACAGTTCAGGTGAATATTGTGCATGAATAGATTTTTGCTCAAGGTGTCTTTACAAACACTAAGTTGGTCCTGTTCAAAACCAGGGCGTTAAAAAAACAAAACAACAACTCCATAGACAGAATTAATTGTAGTAAATTAGATATGTACTTTACATCTATGTGTTTAGCAAGGAGCTCCATTGGTGGATTATACGGTCTTTATAGTTGTTTAGCCTCTGTTTGTAGTAGTGTAGTTTTTGTGATGGTTAGCAGCTGTTTGGCATCTCTTTGTAGTTCTTTTGGTCTCTCTGTAGTATGTTTGTGTCTCTCATCTGTGGTCATTTTAACTTTAGTATGCCCAGTAGGCCCATTCAGTAATCCATGCTGGGCTAAGGCTTTTTTCAGTTTCTTGTGATAGTTTGTGGGCAGTTTGTTAGTTCAAACCTACTGGTCTTTTTGGTTCTTTAAAATCTCATAGATGTAAACGGGAGTGTGATTAGTTGTCTTTCTGTATGTTAGCGCACGCAACCCCACCTTTTACCCAATGTTAGCAGAAACAAAGACTTGTTGACCTGTAAAAAGGGCTGATGGCATCAACATTTATTGCGGATATTACATTTTCCTAAGCTAAAGGAAAAGGTTTTATGAAAATATTCTTGCCCTGTAAAGCTCGTCCCACTATTTTGTCCTACTCACCTACAACTGACATTTTATCTGAGACACGACAGGCTACTGATCCTTAACTAAACCTTCAGCAGGACTCACACTAAGCCAGTTTCAGGATGTAGGTTAGTCTCATCTACTAAAGATTAACCTGAGACACGTCACAGGGATCAGCAGCAGTGTGTTCACTTTGAAGGCCTGGTTGGTCACTGGTCACCTGATGAGAAACTGCCCTCCCCATTTGGCTGTCCTATTTTAGTTTCATCCTTTGGGTCACTGTTATTGTACAACTGACTGGAATCATGATTTCTCATTGACCCTGTTCAGTGTGGGGTTGTCTTTTGAGAGATGTTAGTATAGTTGCTAACCTAGTTATCAATCAATCCATAGACAGAAAATGTATCAACAATCATTTTGATAGCTGGTTAATTGTTCAAGTAATTTTCCTCAAGCAAAAATGCCTTATCGTTCTCTGGTTCCAGCTTCTAAATGTTAATTAAAAAAATGTACCTTTTATGTCATTGTAAAAAAAAAGGACAAAGGAAGTAACATGAAGATGTTTCCATATCTGCCATTATAAATATAGCAAAGTTATTTGCAGTGTTTAGAGACCATACTGTGTTATTTCGTGCAAATACCATTAACATTAATATTAACCATTGCAATGCATTTATTTGATGATGTAGTATAATGGGGTCTTTTTAAATGTTTTTTCTAACATGAATATTTGCCTTGTTTTACATTTTTGATTTGCATGCTTTTAAATAGTATTATTATATTTGTTGATGTTGAATTTGTCTTTGTCTTTAGGATCGGGTTGTAACATCTGCATATCGACTACAGATGCTACAGATAGAAAAGCTCTTCTCGGTTAACTCTGGCATTCCTATTGAGAAAAATACTTTTAAATGAACATTCGCAATGGGCATTTCTGCAGAATACATGGTTGAAATAACAAGGTTAAGAGGTAGGCCAGTTTTCCTCCAATGACCTTTAGATCTCAGTGATGATCTACTTTCTCCTGGATGGCGGTATCGAATCTATTTCTGTTTATCCCATGGTTTATCCTGCTTCAATGAGCAAGTCTGTCCCGCCCACTTTGTTCTATCAGCCAATAGGAGGGCAACATTGCGGTAGGATTTAAAGTATTTTCAAAATAAGATCATCCGTGTTGGAAATAACTCCACGTTCTATATTCTGTATTGAATGTACAGGACGCGTACTTTTATTTCGACACGTGTGTGTTTTTTTGGCCGGAAGTCCTTTGAATAGTCGCAGTGTGTCGTTGGCGGATAGATTGCATCAACAATGGCAGCTCCCAGTAGGAAGCAGACTTTAAGGTTTCTCAGCCAGTTGGGAGCATTTATTTTGACCCGGTTTGGGTTTTGGAACTGCTTCACCATGTTGATGTTGTTTGCTGAACGAGCGGACTCAAAAAGGTAAACAGATTTGGAGAATATAGCGCTAGAAACGAGCTAACAAGCTAGCTAACGCCAGTCTAACGCTGCGTTTATCAGCCTTGATTATCAAGATGTTTCTAGAAGCATTATATTGTTTGACAGATATTATTACTGTACAATATGCGTGCCAGTCTAACTTTAATATATGTTATGTTCAAAGTTCCAGCTAGCTTCATGTTAGCCTATTTAGCTGGGGTCTATTTTAGCAAAAACCTCAGACGTAAGTTTCAGCCATATGGAGTTGTTTAAATTAAAAAGACAAGTTATATTTAGCCTTGTCTGTAATTTTCAGTCGGAAGGATAAAAGGCTGTAATTTATCCTGGTAGTAATGGTGGTTTTAATCCTAAATACACTGGGCGTGTATTGTTTCAGTCTGTGGTGGGTTGGTTTGACTTGGACAACCACACCCCTCTGAATTGTCCTGTAATTATATCAACCTAAATCGTTTGTCTTACCTGTCTGCCTCTCTTTGGGGGATATTATTCCCTTTTTTTATTCCATTCTATTACTTTGTTTGTACATATATATACCATGACTTTTGTTGATACACTACTTTGACTTTTGTAGTACTATACTATACATTTAATTGACACATTACTATACGTTTTATGACATATGATGCTAACTATGATGTTTTAATAAATGTTTAATTACCTACTATACTATCGTTCTTTGATAAATGTTGAATTACATACAATTTTTAATTACATGTTTTAACATTCTATACTATGGCTCTCTTTTTTTTAACATACTATATTATGACTTGTTATTAAATGTTTTAGATACATGTTTAATGACATCTTATCCTAAGATGTCTCTATGGAATACTATACCTTTACCATGACATACTATTATCATTTTTACTAGAATATTTAAAGAGATTCTATAATATGCCTTCTTTTTTTAATATGATAGATAGATAGATACTTAATTGACCCCAAAATTGTGAAATTCTTGGAAAAATCTATAAACACATTCTATAAACACAATCTATAAACTCCTGCAACAGGCTGCCAACTAGCACGGTGCCAACAGGGATCAAATATATATATACTCAGACTTGTTTTTACTTTACTTTTAAAGTTTTATGGCATCTCTTTTCATCCATTGTCCTCTCCAGGAAGCCAGACATCCCTGTCCCCTACCTGTACGTGGACATGGGGGCTGCGGTGCTGTGTGCCAGCTTCATGTCCTTCGGGGTGAAGAGGAGGTGGTTTGCAGTGGGCGCCGCCATACAACTGGCCGTCAGCACGTACGCATCGTATGTTGGAGAACAAGTGCACTACGGGGACTGGCTTAAGGTGAGTTAGCTTCTGTGGTTTAGAGTCACAAAGCTAATGTGCAGTAACCCTAATAACTCTTAATGTTGAATTAATGTGTATTTTGTTCTATTTTTAAGAACAACAATGCTGCTGTGACAAAAATGTCCAAACCTGGCATAAATTACATTTTTGAATAATAATAATAATAGATTTAATTTGTTAGCGCTTTTACAGGTGCTCAAAGACGCTTTACAGATAATAGTGAAGAGAAAAGAAAAGAGAAGAAAGGAACAACAAATAAATATATAGTTAAAGTTAAAGTCAAATAATACAAAAACAATCACACATGAAAAGCCAGATTGAAGAGGTGAGTTTTTGTGAGTTTTTTGAAGGTGGTGAGGTCGGTGCAGTCTCTGATGGGTTGTGGGAGTGAGTTCCAGAGGGAGGGGGCAGCGACGGAGAAGGCTCTGTCCCCCCAGGTCCGGTGATTGGTGCGGGTGGGGATGGATAGGAGGTTGGCTTCTGATGAGCGGAGGCAGCGGGAAGGGGTGTGGTGGTGCAGCAGGTCTGTGAGGTAGGGGGGGGCCTGGTTGTTGAGGGCTTTGTAAGTAATGAGGAGGACTTTGAAGTGGATTCTTTGACGGACGGGGAGCCAGTGGAGGTTCTGGAGGATGGGAGTGATGTGGTCTCGGGAACGGGTGTGGGTGAGGAGGCGGGCAGCAGAGTTCTGGATATGTTGGAGTTTATTGAGGAGGTTGGATGGTATGCCATATAGAGGATGCTATTGCAGTAGTCGAGTTGTGAAGTGATGAATGCATGAATCAGGGTTTCAGCAGCAGAGGAGGAGAGTGATGGGCGGAGACGGGCAATGTTTTTGAGGTGGAAAAAGGCGGTCCTGGTGATGTGATTTATGTGGTGGTTGAATTTGAGCTGACTGTCGAAAATGACTCCGAGGTATTATCCGAGGTATAATTCATCATGTTTACATTAGCACGCATGTCATTCGTTTTACAGGTAGGTCAAAGCATATG